TGAGGCGGTTAGGCCAAATTGGGGTTCCCATGTCACTCTCGAGCCTGGTTTATTTGATTTAATTCTCCACCCAATAAAAGACTTGCCAATACAAAATTATTAATTTGAACAAACATGAATCTTTGGTTCCATAAATTAAACTAAGCTACCGATTTCCATGATTAATGCAGAGTATGCTGGGGCTACATGTTATCAACTTAACAAGTACACGCTGCGGACTGTACTTTTGAGGTCATAATACATTGTTAATGTACAATAATAAAGTTGAAGGTACACGTACGTGCACCCCACATTGCAAATTTAACATGCAACTTTCACCCTCCATCAGCCTCCACTCGTATGACCTTAAAATAGCTACACATGTATTTTAGTAGTGTTGTATAAGAAGGAACAATGTTGACAACAGGTACTAACTTTTAAGAAAGGAACTTTTATTCTAAACTATTTTACAGCTTGTACAAGAGAGAGTGGGAGTACTGCGCGTAGAGATGTTGCTTGGAGAGTGGTTGTGATGAGACTGGCTAAAAATGACCAAGTGGTGAAAATAGGGTTGGGAACACAGGTTGGAAGAACAAGGGTAAATCTAACTAAAATCTAATTATAAAGTGATAAATCCTAGACCAGAAGTCTGCCAGAGGAATGTGGTAAGAAGGCCAAGGCAATAAAAGTGGGTCCTTGTGTAGGAGTGCTCTTAAATCAATTAGGAGGCTTGACATTACAGGGTCAAAAGTTAAAGGCTCCTAATCTACTGCTGGAAAAACATGTACATGGGATCTACTGTAGATGCAAGTGTTCTTATTTTTACAAGGGGGAAAACGCTACAGTATAACTCACCAGCCGATGTAGCTAACCTACCCCTAGCCTAGGGACTCCCAGCCCGCAATTCAGCAGATTTGCAGGACCATTCCAGGCCCTGAACACTGATCAACACAAGGTTGTCAAAAAGATTTTGGACAAGATCCAAGGTTGTGGCGCGAACGACCAATTAACATGCATATCCACCGGCACAGGAAACTTAACCAATTGCAGCTTAATCCCTCTATTAGGTGGTCTGGACTATTGAAGTATTAAATATCTGCACATTTGCATTTACCCACAGTTCCCAAATCCAAACCATTAACATTTTATAAATGAATGCAACATTAAACCTAAAACTATTTGTCGTGCCCGAATAACATGCCCACAAAACTAAGATTGCTACACGGGTAACCGGGCTATTCATGGACAACATGAATTGCGACCTCATGTAACTACACCATTCAACCCCTATCAGAGAATCACCACAATTGATTTTTCTGTGTTGGAGGCCTCGAGCGATGGTTTTGAAAATGTGTTGGTCAGCACAGATGTGTTTAGGAAGTATTCATGGGTCATACCATCTGTAGGACCAAAAGGCAGTTACAATGGCTAAAATGCTTGTTAAACACGTCTTCCTCCTGTTTGGTGCTCCTCTACGTATCCATTCCGACAATGGGTGGTGCTTTGAAGCAAAGGCCGTACAAAACCACACAAGCTACACGGTGTCGGCCACTCACACACTACCCCATACGGGCCCCCAAGGTAACGGTCACTGCAAACGTTTTAACCGCACACTGCATAACCTGCTTGTCACTCTCCCAGAACACCGCAAGGCCAGATGAACTGAAAGTGTGCCGCATCTTGTCACACTCTGTAACAATATGGTCCATGCCAGCACTGGATACGAGCTGACCTATTTAATGACGGGAAGGAGGTTCCGGCTTCCTCAACACCTCCTGCTTGGGGTGAGTCACAAACAGCCTCATAGTGAAACTCCCAACCAGATGGAGCATGCTCACATGACTGCATTGACAAAAATTGACACCAACACTGCTGAGCGTCAAGTTCGCCAAGATAACCACATCTTCGAGGCACCTGTTAACCGTGGTGACAGGAAACAGGGGGAAGAGCGAAGATTCAGGACCTCTGGGAGGCAAACCCTTATACGGGTAGTGGACCGACCGTCCCCACAACAACCAGTCTACAGAGTTAACACATAATGTTGTGACAACACTTTTGAAGGTCGCGCCGATGTTGCAACAAAACATTTTAAAATGACATCTTAATTGCAGCATAGAAACATTATGACATGTGAACAGAGAAACGTTGTAATAACGTTATGCAAATGACCCAATTTGATGTTTTATCTGACATATTAAATTGAAGTTACATAATTATTTTTGAGAAATATTTGAAACAGGTTTTGCAGCGAAAGACAAATATTGCTACAGTTATATTTTTACGACATTATGTAGAATTTATAAAGTTCGCCTATGCTTTGGGAATGCTACCTGCACGTGTATTTATCCCCGCATGCACACGACCAGAGAACTGAACTTAGGGACAGGTGGACACTCGCATTCTAACTTTTGTCGATTGGCCTGAGCAGCCGTTTATTTAACTTGACACAGTTCAGGTTGTTCCCGCCGCGCTCGAAGCTGGGGACGCGGAGCCGCAAAAAATTACATTGCGCACGATCAAAGTATAGCTACTCAGCAATATATGGAAATAGTTCCCGCCCGAAGCGGGTGACGCGGAACTGCAAGTATATCTTACATTGCGTTTCGGGCAAAGTGTAGATATTGAGCAAAAATTACAGAGACTGTTCCCGCCCGAGCCTGGTGACGCGGAACAGCAACTCATATCAACAAATACATAGAGCTATCAGCAAAAATGTATGAAAACCAATTATCATGTCAGCATTTGTTTCCGCCAAAGCACATGGAGCGGTAAATTAATTTTGGAATGTACCTGCGCGGTACAAAGCCTTCGATACGCAAATTCAAACAGCAATTACATCTGGCAGATGGCAAAATTACCCAACTTTCATGAACAAATTAAAAAGGATTTACTCCAGCATACAATAACTTTGGGCCAACCACCAAACGCTGGGATCAGACAGCAATTTCCACGAGGTGCGGCCCGACTTGGGCTTACACTGGGTTGCTGGAATAACGGGCGATTAATGAGCATTTTCAACAACCACTTACAGCTATTTATGTCAAACGACAGAAATTGGTGAGTACGAAATGGCTTTTCTTAATTTGGCCCTTAATAATCTAGTGCCTCCCCCAACAAAGGAAGGGGTCAGGCCTTTCCTTTTGGCACATTCCCATAAGTGTCGTAAATAAGAATACAGTGCCTTAAAACCGAGGTCAATTTGCGGTCCCTGAATAAAATTCACGCCAAACAACCACCTAAGTCAGCGACTTTGCCAATTCTTAGAAAGGCGACCCCCCCAAAACCATTAAGGAAAAAAAGGGGGGATTCCCTTCTGGCTCAGTAAAACTGGCAACTGAGTACAGGATTTACCGGATCACTGTCAATTTCTTTAGAATCGGCAAAGTGGACTACCAACGGAATGCGCATAAACATTTTTTGCAAGGCAACAAAAAGGTATCAAAGTAAGCTACGGCTGACAGGTGGTGGCACTGAACGGGGTGGAAGAGGGTTGCTTTTGCAAAATAGACAGATTTTTTCTTCTCCAACCAAACGCCTTGCTGCTCAGGCAAAAGTGACCGGGAGTAACTCTCTCTAGAGCTACTAACATTTTAAGGTCACGTCATTAACTAGTTCGAGGCATTAAATCACCGTGCCAGCAACTGCAAGTGAACACTACTGACCCACTTAGTGACAAGGGCCTCCAATGTCCCGCGGTGATAAATTATTTGAAGCTGCAACTTATTTTGCCTCAAATTGATTATCGCAGTTCTTAATAATGTAGTGTAATTCCCGGTGACGGGAGAAAGTGAGGCGGTGAGGCCAAATTCTGGGGTTCCTGTGTCACTCTCAAATTTTGGTTTATTGGAGATCTCCTTGGCTCATGAAAAGACCTGCCAGTACAAAATTATTAATTTAAACAAACATGAATCTTTGGTTCTATAAATTAAATTAAATGTAAATTAAATACCAGTTTCCATGATCATTGAAGAGTATTGCTGGTGTAACCGTCGACGCTCCATACTTTATCCCTTTTTAGTGACTTTGGGCATGCCATACTACGGTCGTAAAGTTCACGATGCAATGTATAACATTTTAGCGGGCCGCCGTCCATGTGATCGATTGCCAGCATCAGCATACAGACTTTCTGTCCACCTCGCTCTGATCTATTCCCAGAAGGTGATATCTATAAACGAATAAGTACATTCTAGATCTGCAGTTTTTGAACATCCATTATATACTGAAGTAAAGAAGAATTTTTTGGGTCTGTCTTCGATAAACGGCACAGTGGTAAGCGTGTATTACTTTGGTTCATGTATAGCATATATGGCCTACATATACTTGTAGTCTTACCGTTACGTGTACTGTACACTACGTGTTTCTAGCTAGTTTTTTAAAAACCGAATGTGTCAACGTTAGCTGCGTGATAAACTTTCAGATGTTTATTGTATCGCAACTTAACTCATCTAATCATCTCATTACTTGAATATTATGCATGTGAGTACAAATTATTAATACATGTAAATGCAGTTTGGACGGAAATAGTAAGGATTTGTTCCCGAGTTTGACAATATCTTCAGGTTTGCAATTTGGACCAGTCACATGTATCTTCACATGACATGTACTAGGGCTTACCAATTGTTGTGTTGATGTGTTTTCTGACATGCATATTTTCTGTATTTGTTTACCTGTAGTTCTTACGGCATTCGAAGTGGGAACTTCTGCTTTTAACCAGAGGTCAGAAGTAAATAAAACTTGAAAGACATGCCAGTACAAGAACGTGTTGAATATAATTCCATCAATTGTCGGAGACAGGCACAGCTGGTGCTACATGTAACTTAAGATGTAACATGTACATGCTGTGGATTTCCAAGGTCATGCCTAATATATTGTACATGTATATGTACAATAACAAAGGTGGAGGTACACGTACGTGCACACCACATTGCAAATTTGACATTCAACTTGCACCCTGCTACATACAGCCACTTTTATGACCTTATATTAGCTATTATATAACTCGCTATATACATGTAACTCACCAGTCGATGTAGCCAATCTGCCCCTAACTTAGGGCCCCCAACCCTGCTGGTACAATTCAGCAAATCTACAGGACCATTCCAGGCCCTGAACCTGACGACTACAAAGTTTCTAGAAGTATTGGAAGAGATCCAAGGTTGTGGCGCGACCAATTTACACGTATATTCATGGGCACCGGGGCTTAACTGATTGCAACTTAATCCCTCTATTAATCGATCTGGACTATTAAATATCTAACC